CCGTGCAGATCAGATTCACGGCTTCATCCGCTTTGGGCCTTATGTCGAGGGTCGTTGTGTTTAGCTGATCCAGTGTCCCGTTTTTGACCGCGTACGGCACCCAGCTTGCAATAAAGGTACCGGCACAGTCAGTAAGCGCCGTTTGGGCCTCATAGTAGAGCGTGCTCGCGTTGAGCCAGCTCGCCATGAACGATTGCTCAGCCCTGCCCAGTGACCAAGAGACATTGAGAGTGACCGGAGTGTCCGGGGGCCTTGAGGCGTTCGAGACACTGTGACAAGCAGCGTTCACTGTGACCGCTAATTGTTGCTGCGGGTGAATTAGGCTGCTGATTGATGTCAAGTGGTCAATAGGCTCCACTTTGACCTCCGATAGGTCTGCGGCTCGACAGGAAACATTTGTGCCCAATCCCCAGGTTTCTGACGTCCTGTGGCCGTTCTTCTGTGCATCTTTCTGGGAAATCTTGAAAGGTAGGAAATGGAACTTTTCTGTTGTCCATGCAGGATATGTCGTCTCACCAGACGCGTTTGTCAACGCAGCATAGAACAATCCAGGCTCCGAATCGAGTATATGGAGCTGATCGCCTCCGTACGACGTGAGTGCCGTCCGGATATTTTCCGCGTGTATGTCTGGCGTGACAAGCTCGTTGAAAGTGGCTACTTGTAAGATGGTAGACTGCGTTTGCAGGAACAGACCACCGAGGGCTACGGCGAGGATGTTGGCAAGAAGCGCACACACGATGAGCGCCGCGAAAAGCAAATGCAACTTTTTAAGCGCCTTGAAGAGGAGGAAGTGCGGCGGGTGGCTCTCGTAGTGAACTGTCAGCGACTTTTCGCTCGGGGTCGGCTTCTTGTGCATCTCTTGAAAGGGCATGATCACGGCAACAAAACGTGCCATGGCAACCAGATACTGCTCAACCAATGTGGCACAGACGGTAGGAGAGTATGAGTAGGCGAGGTTCTTAACGAATGCAGTTCCAGGCGGTATTGGCAGACCTACCAGAGATTTCAGCGTTCATTCGCAGGCAGGAAATCGAGAGTGGGTAAGTTTACCATTCTGCTTCACACTGGCAGCATAGAGACCGCCAAATGCTCCCATCAATCCTAAGAATGCAAACAATATTCCGAATCCTGTCCACTTAGACAGTTCCCAGGGACCATCAGAACGAGAAGAAGGCATGTAGGTGTTCTCTGCAGCTGGCGGTGGTACAGCTGGCAGAGGCTTCCTCTCCACTTCAGTCTCTACAACTCTAATGATCCGATGGCCGCCTTTTCCAGGCTCTGGCGGAAGCAATTTATAACGTTCATGGCTTGCTTTAAGCTTTTCCATCGTCCTCTCGACGGGGACGAAATCAGAGCCCTTAAAGTCCGTGAGCACCGCCGGTGAAACAGCAACGGAAGCGATCAACTCCGCCAGGGAGCCCGGCTCGTTGCTGAGATGTAGTGGCCGATTGTGCAGAAGCCAGATAGTGATAACCTCAAGCAGAGCGATAGCAGCAAATGTTGCTTGCAATAGCCGTGAGAACAGGGGGTCGGCGACATAAACCGAAGACTTGAACTTGCGCTGAGCAGTGGCCAAAGTTGAGCTTGAGTTTGTGGTAAGCTCTGTCGCAACAGCAAATGAAAAGTACATTTTGAAGGCCTGGCGAAGATCTTCCGCCAGCCTGTCAGGATTAAGCAGATCATCCAGGTTTGTTTCCTCGGTGATGGCGAAGCCAAGTATGGATTGATTATCCTCAAGCAGCGTATTTACTTGTGCTACAGGCTGACCGGTTGTTGAGCTGCCGTTGTTGAGGAGCTCATGAAAGGCGCTTCGAGTTCTCATCTGGGTGATCATGTTCGGGACACCGAATGGGTTCTGGTTGTTGAGTCCATAGTCTTGAGAAACATTCATGGACGGAGCAGCGGTGACCGCGCTGCCAAACGCAACATAATCCTCGAGATATGTGCTATTTATCTTCGAAAAAGCTGATACCTTGTCACCCAGGTTGCGCAGAAGTGTGGTGTTAACCGTGCCATTGGTGGCGAGTACAGTTGCCTCGACTGGAACCTCGTAGTACTTTGGCTCGCAAAAGACCGCCGAAAAGTTATTTGGAACGGCCCAAGCACCATCATCGGTCCCAGGCTGCTCAACGAGGAAGCCGTCCTTGTTTCTTTGGTAGGGAAACCGGTTCCACAGGGCCAGCAGCGTATGTTGGCCGTGGCATTCGGCATTCTCATCGGACAAGGTCAAAGTACTGGCCAGCTGCTGCTGAACTCCATTCCGTGGGTCCGCGTACAAATACTTGCCATGGCTCATGAGCAAGCCCGTGTATGGCGTTGTCGGTGACTGGTAATTGATATTATCTACCAGCGGACCTTGATGTTTCTGAACCAGGGGTTCGAATATAAATGTACAGTTCTTGCCATTGGTCAATGTAAGAGATTTCCCCAACGATTGGAAGCCGTTTGTGCTCGATTTCGCAGCAACACAGTCCAGGCCTGCCTCATAACGCGTAGTATTGACTGTCCAAGTCTCTTCCGCTTGTAAATCAGCATCTTTCAATTCGGTCGGCTCAAAAGGGACTAAAGCGAATGTTTCAGTTGCATATCGAGGCATTGTGCCATTCAGATACTTATACTGATAGGCCACCTGTGCGAAGTGTGCGCTGAGGATTTTGGCCTGTTGCTCCATAGGAACCAGGCTCCGAATTCGAACCTCGAAATCAAGTGAGCGATGTAGTGTTTTTGGTGTGAGAACAGCACTCATCAGTGGTGTTGCCGCGTACGAAACCAGCAATGCAATCAACCCGGAACAGAACACCACCCAGTGACGCCTCTTGAACGAATTCCATGGCAGAAAAGCCGCAAATTGGTATGGATAATCCAGCAGCAGGGAATCCCTAGCATCTACCCCTTCAGACTTTGAAAGTTGGAAGTAAGGTTCCAGCCGTTTGATGTCGTTGTCGATCCACATCAAAAAAAGCCCATGCAACACGGCCACCAGGGTCGGCAGGTACTCGAAACAGAACAGCGTGTATCCCGGCAGCTGGCCAGTCTTGGAGTCGGCAAAAATGAGACCGCCATTACTGGCCGAAATGCGGAGCAAAGCTTCGAGGACCCCGATGAAGGCCAAGCACAGAGCGACAGAGATGAGGTGGAATGGCGTCTTCAGTGTTGATGGCTTCCAGCTTTCTCCGAGGCCATTAGAAGCGCTCGCGGCTAGATATAGCTTCAGCACCCAGCAGATATAGTAAACGTAGTTGTTGTTGCTTACCTTTCATAGCCGAGTACTCGGCAATCTTAGTTTTCCATGGCCATTTGCGCTGCGTTGGTGTTTCTTGAGATTCCGAACCCGAGTCGTGTTCTTCGACCTCCAGCATGTTATGTGACTGCGAAGAATGGCATCGAATGAGAGGAGATGGCGGCGCGGTGTGTAGAGGCATTTAACATCGGGGCAGTTCATCCATGCTAGCAGCGGTCCTACCTACGTGGTTGCACAGAAGCTGTCGACTTCACCGGGTCTGCTAGATATAAACAGGACTAGGTACTGCGGAAGCTACTGATCGTTGGACATGTTCGTATTAATTGCCTGTATTAATAGTTTGCCGCGGATCCGGTTCCCCCCTTGCTTGCCTTGCCTACTTAGTATCTACCTAGGTACCTAGGTAGATGAGATGGCTAGCTGCCTGCATTTAGCGCCGAAGCCATAAATGCCTTGCGATCATCCGTTTGCTACCCTTAATATACTGCACCATGAAACATTTTCCTTGTTGTCTGCCTGGGAATTTGCACCGCACACATGCTAAGATAACGGCTTGCCCACGTCGGTCGAAGGATCACCAAAGCCAGACACCAGGATCGGGAAGCATGGCTGGCTCTGCACTGCAAACCCAAGGGCTACTTCCGCCGCCGGAAAAGACCCGACCCTACGGTCTTCAAATGCCGGAAAACCCTGGCGTCACGCTTCTTCCAGCTCAGGCTGGGTAAAGCGCCCTTGGCGCCATACCTACACCAAACAGGTCGGCGAGATGACGACAAATGCTGGTTCTGCACAAGCGGGCAGACACAGACGAGAGAGCACCTTTTCAAGCATTGCGCGCGGTGGTGAAAGGAGCAGGCGGTGCTATGGAAGGCAGTAGCAGACGCTACACAGGAAGGGCCAAAGAGACGGAGGACGAACAGATCCATTGGGGTCCTGTTGTCTGATGAACGCTGTACGGAGGCGATTTTTGTTTTTTTGTTTTAATCATGTTGTATTCGGCCGCTTGCAGCCATGACATATATATAAGAGAAGAGACTATGCTACACCTTAGGTCGGAGCCTACTGTTGGTGCCTGCAGCCCTTCTAAGGAAATAGAGACAATCAAATCGAACCGAGTGAATGAGTCGCACCAAGGAGATTCGTAACAAGAGAAGCGCGCTTAGGGGAAAGACAAAGGAAAGACCATTTCGATACATCATGCAGCCTTGTCGGGCCATGTCGCTACTTTAGTGGAGCCCAGGAAATCCAGCACCGCTTCCGTGCACCTATCGTCGGCCAGCAGCGCAGTAGTCGTCGCCGTTGGCCATGTACGGAGGCGGTGATGGTTTTCTTAGGCAGCACTGAAGTTGGATTATGGCCGGCCATGGCCTAAACTGTTTCCCTGACCCTGTATTTTCTTTCATACTTTTTTCAGACACGAATCTCCTTGGTGCGCTTTTACATTTGGTGCGGATTTCCTTATCTATTTTCCTAAAGGAGGTGCAGGCCCCACAGTAGGACTCGAGCCTAGGGGTAGCATTACCTCCGCCTCTTATATATGTCATGGCCGCAAGCGGCCAAATACAATATGATTAAAACAAAAAGCTAAGATAACGGGCTCCTGAAGCTTGAGAGGTTCTGCGCTTTTGAGGCAGGAATGCTTTCTTAAAGCACTCGCAGACATGTAGGAATACAGCTCTGCTTCTCTTGGCCACCAAAACATGGTACACCTCAACCCAAGCTCATGTTAAATCCAAAGTTACCACTTATACTGACAGCAGGTTGTATAGTGTAATGGTTAGCACATCGGATTCTGATTCCGGTAATCTCGGTTCGATTCCGGGTACGACCTCTTTCGTCTTATGTTTTGTTTTGTCCACAGGCAGGCGGATGATGTTTTTTCTTTTTTGAGAGAAAAAAAGCCTTATGTTAATGATGCAATGGCGGGTAGTTGTAGAGTGAGGACAGGTGAGTGTTATGGCCAGCTTTCTCAACAGCCAGCCCGCCCGGCCGGCTGCGTTGGGCGGATGTGGGCTGATCAAAAAGCCCGGCTGGCTGTTTGGGCTGCAGCCCACAATGACGACAAATACGACCACCGTGATGTAAACTACTGCTATGAAATGAAAAGTACATAAAGATGTTCGCCGTGTAAAATGATGACTAGGAGGAGATCACTAGATAGAAGTTTAGTATAACATCACAGATCCTGATAAGTTTATCGACGCCGATTGAACCCCGCCACTCGCAGTGGCCGGTCTTCACCGGAGATCACTCAAAGCTCTGGCAGCCGGGCTGGCCCGACAGCAGGCTGGGCCGTTTGGGCTGATGCAAAAAGCCCGCCGGGCTGGCTGCTTAAAGCAGCCGGCCAAGCCCGCCCGGCTGTTTGGGCTGGCTACTGAGAACACTGGTTATGGCCACTCTTGCTCTTGGGTAGAAAAGAACATTGCCATTGACAGCTTCGCTGGGGTTCTTCTAGGGGCCTCGTTCCCAACTATTGTGGGTGGCCGATCAGTCGATTATGAGCTTGCTTGAACCACCAGCTGGTGGAATCAATATCTTAAATGGTATGAGGTATATCAAGGCCAGCAGCCATAGCAAAAGAAAAAAAGAAAGAAGAAAGATTCGTCCACCATCCACTCCCATTACCAGCTCAAAATCCCAGATCCAAAAACGCGAAAAGCCAACATCAAAATCCCGAAATACCAAAAACCTCGGACTCTCTACTCTTCAATCATCCCCCTCAACACCTGCAGCACACGCCCCACCATCTCCAACCTAACATCTTTGGGCACCGACTCCCTCGCCTCTTTCTCAACGGAACGCCGCAAATCTGCATAATTCGCCACGCCCGCCTTGGGGTCTCTCAATCGCTCCTGGCATAACGTTCGCAGTTGCTCGGTCCAGCCGGCTTCTTGCAGGAGTTGGAGGAGGTGGGATTCGAGTCTATCCACGTTCGGTCAAAAGCAAAAACAGAAAAGAGGGGTGGGGGTGGGGCAGTAGGCGCGTTCTTTCCTCCCTCATATACTTAATACTTACTTTACCAGCTCCCCAGACTCGAGAAGCCGCCGGTTTATCTCGGCCACGATTTCGGCGGGCGCGCCGGAGGCGTGTTTTTGCGATGATTCTGGCGGCGGCAGCCTGGTGCTGGTGCGCGTGTTTCGAGTGTGTGGTGTGGAGCGAGGTTTGGCAGGTAATTTCGGGATAACGCGACGCTGAACGCGGTGTGTGGATTTAGCGTGCTTTTTGGGCAGGGGTTGGATATCACCCATTTTGTTAACGGTCCAGGGCTAGGTCGACTTGAGTAATCTAATAAGGACTGAAGTGAGGAGATTGGGCGGGGGGCGGCGGGGCGGGGCGGGGTGGGGTGGGGGAGATGGATGTGGTTGTAATGACAAGTTGCTCCTCCAAGACGCCGGAGTGCGCATTTATTCATGAGTAAGAGACACCGCGAAATTGCTTTTTTCTTCTCAGAACTGATATACCATATCTGGAAGTTTTAGCCTTGCCAAGGAGAGTTTTTTTTCTTCTTCCCTATAGGGCAATTTTTTGCCGCCAAGCAAGTCTCACTTACCCAAGCGGTACCGTACGTATTTTTGAGAATACCGGTCACAATCTGCTAGTAACACTTACGGTAGTGTATGCTGGAACCGCTCTAACCGCTCATCGCGATGACAAACTTACATTTCATCGTCTGCGAGTCCCACTGCTACAGGCGTGGAAGTGAGATTTGGGATCTACTTCATCAGCACGATTGTTTTAAAGCAATCCCCACCGTTTTGAGGGTGCTAGGGGCCTTGTCTCGCGTCGATTGATCATTTCGGCGTGATCGTGATGGTTGTTGGAACGATGGTGTTGACCGTGCGGCGATCGATGCCCGCTGCATCGCCGCCCCGGAGGCCGCCCACAGTGTGGCTGAGCATTGAACAGTATACCGTAGCAATGCCGCATTCAAATTATTCATTACATTGCGCATTGATTTTTTTACTGCGCATTGTTGTGGAAATATTCACATGTACTGCGGGCAAGGGTTTCGGTTACAGTATCACAGTCTAGTTACACCCCATCACAAAAGCTCATCAGAAACCAAAAAAAAAAAAAAAAAACTTGTTAACATCCATGATGCTACTTCACTACCGTACTATAACCACGAACACGTACTCACAACAAGCAAGCAAACAAGCAAACACACATGACCAACCGCAGCAATGTCACAACGCAATCCAGTCTCTTAAACCCGCAAAGGCAACAGAAGTAAAAACACGCAAGTCATAACAATTTTCCACAAAGCAACGCAACGTAACGCATGCAATCCAAAAAAAAAAAAAAAAAAAAAAAAAAACGGAAACGGAAACGCAATCCCATAAACGAAAGCACCCCCTACACACCAGCACCATCAACAGTCCACACCCACCCGCCGCCCTCCGTGACCGGTATCCTCCTAACCCACCCCCTGCGCCTCCTCTGCACCCACCCGACCCAACCGGCCATCTCTACCCGTTCCTCGACGCCTAAGCTTACGCCCACGTCAGGACCCTACTCCCCCGTAGGCATTCCCTCGACCTCAGAGCTAAGCGCTCTCCAGCCCTCAGCCTGGAGTTCTGCATACTTAACTCTCTCAATTGCCCAATCCTGATGGAGGCGGCCGACATGATACTGGCTTCCCTGGAAGAAGACGAGTTCATGGAGGATGCACTCTCTGATCAAGATGCCCCTGACGCGTTGGCGCTCGATATCCTCGCCGTCCTTACGGATGGCTTCTTGGACCTTTTCGGTCTCTCCAGGTTTGAGCGGCGCCTCTGAGGCCCGTAGAGTCTCCAGCTTCTTTTGGTTATTTTCGATGCGCTTGGTGAGCTGCGGGATGTTGTTGCCAGCCAACCGGTCGTAGCGCTCGAACAGCTCCCGCATTGACACCAGCGTGTCGCGCTGACGCTTCAGATCCTCGAGCACGCCCGCATCCCATGCTTTTGCCTCGTCCTCGAGGAGCGCGCGCGAGTGTGTCAAGCTCTTCGACACCGCGGTGAGCCCGTCGTTAAGGAGCGGTATGTCGTTCGTGTCGACGGCGTACGTAGCCTCGCTGGCGTCGGTGAGGGAGCTGAGACACGTTGCGAAGCGGCCGTAGTCGGCTGCTATGCCCTCGTGCCGCCGTTCTAGTCGCTCCACGAGGTTGCAGAGCTGGATGTAGATCTCCGCGCTGCGCCTGAGGCCAGATCGCACAGTCTCAAAGGTTTCCGTGAGGTCCCGCGGCAGGGAAGCTTCCAAGTCTGAAGGGAGGGAACGGTTGGTGAATTCCTCAACGATCGAGAAGGTGGCTTGTTTACGCCACACAGAAAGCTCGGTTGGCACGGTCAAGAACATGATGACCAGCTGTTCCTGCGAGAGAGTGGGGTGGCGCACGAGCGCGTTGACGAAGCGGTGCAAGCCCCGGCGGCGGCGCTCGAGGAATTCGGCATCGGCTGAGAGATAGTGGCCGTTAACTATTGCCAGCATAAGAGTAAGCCCCGCGCAAAATCTTCGCGGGGAGGTAACTTACCAGCGAGACGTTTTGGGGGGAGAAGGGGTAGTTGGCGGAATGGGTATCGTTTGTGTAGACAATCGAGCAGCCTTATACCATTAGCACGGCCACGGAATGAGACGGAGTACCATACCAGACAAAGTCACTATATCTACGGACAACCCGGCTGCCCCGCCGTGTGCTGGTAATCTGGTAGTTCCTGTGCTGGAACATAAACATGCCCTCCTTTTCGGGCAGGATGTTAACATTAACGTGTTCTTCCGGAGCCTTCATGGCAGCCTTGACTCTCTCAAGTCCGGTCAACGCGCCATTTCCGTGCCCATTATTACCACGGCCATTGACCCGGTTTCCGCCTAAGCCGCCAAAGCTGCCATGCCTCGCCCCAAGCCCCGGGTGCTCTCCGAAGCCCGTGATGCTCTGATTGTAGTTCTCGGCATATGTGTTCTGCTGAACGCTGTAGTTGTCGCCAGCCCAAGTCGACGACGTAGTGACCCGACCGGAGCCAGCATTACGCAGCGCCGCATGTATGTCGTCAGGCTCATGTACCTCCTCTGTCTCCTCCTGCTGACCATCCATATCCCCATAACGCTGCTGATGAGTTTGAGCCGGGGCAGAGACGGCATTGGGTGGCTGCGGAGGAGGAGCCCCCCACGGATCTTCAACGCTGGAGGCAAACAACGCGGCGGGGTTGCCAGTGCGCACTGGCTTGGTACTGATCGGAGTGGACTGTTGACGGGCAACAATGGTATTGGGTTTATCGGAGACGGGACTGATAGGGCTATTGGGTATTTCGTTCGAATGGGTATGCTGATGGTGAGAGTTGCGATTGTGGTAAGCACTTTCTGGCTGCGTCGGTGGGGTCTTTGTTCTCGATAGCTGCGGGTCCGGAGGGGTGAGAGTCTTCAATCGGGGTATCGGTAAATCTGTGGGAGGGGGGTCAACACACTCTACGCCATTGAAAAGGGACAATCAACAAGAAGTATGGTAGCACTCACTCCTTCTCCTCACATCGACCGCATCGACGCCAATGTCCCTATCCCCCTCCTGCACCAGCCCCGCCATAGCCAAAAGACACCAAATCTCGCCTCTACCAACCAGATCCTTCCTCCCCACGATCAATTCCCACACCCTATTCCTATCCTCGCCGTAAACCTCAGCCTCGTCCAGCACGCGATCCGCAGCACCATGCGCCTCCACCTTTCCGTCGGCGCCATCCCCGAACTCGCTAACCAGCTTTTCGTATATGTCATAGTAAGCCGGGGGGATATTGGCGTTATCGGTGGTCAAGAGCTCGCGCACCACGTCGCCGAGGTTCTGCGAACGATTGCTGCGGTGGGCGC